TAATATTTTTAAATTGCAATAAATCTATTGAAATTGCTATTTTTCAACCAATTTTTAACTTAACTGTCAATAAAAAAGAAGTGCTCTGATGTACAGTTGTAGGTTACAAGTGGGTCACTGTATAATGGATAGTATTAAATTTGAATTCAATGATATATTATCATTGTATAAGAAAAACGATTCTGAGGGGAGACGGTATGTCAGTCTAGGTAAAAGACATATTATATACTTATCTATCGTATTAAAAAATTACCTAAAATAGGTACCTATAATAAATTCCAAATTAATCATATCATAATATCGATTAGGTACTTATAATGCGTTTTCTTTTTTTTTTTTTATTAATGAGATTTTAACATATAATTTATAATGCGTTATACGTCAACAAAACCCTGATACTATCATAGTCCATACTCCATAGATATATAATAGTGTACTTTAGAAGTTTCAAGTACCCACGAATAATATTACACAATCACAACAAAATAACTAAAATAGTTATTCTAGGTTTTTTTTATGTAATTTTGTCCAAAGTGGAACTTAAAATTACTATAAAAATAAACTGTGCTTATGTATTTTTTAGATTTTTTGGTAACAGAATTAGCTACTTACGTGGAATCTTGTTTTTAATTTTCAATCCTTAGATATAGAAGTTGAACATTTTATACATTTTTAGCCACAAAATAATTATTCAATTTTAAATTTGATAAATTTTGTCAAAATTCGATCTTTAAATCCTTATAAAAAAAAATTGTGCCTATGTATTTTTAATATTTTTCAACTGATATTGTAACAATATATCAGAAGCCTTGTATTAAATTTTTACACTTTTTGGCCAACCTTTATTGATATTTATAGAAAAAAAACTAAAAAAATTGGAAACTGAAAATGTCCGTAAACAGCTCTTAAACAGCATTTTACAACCTTAGATTTAAAAAGAAAAATGTTTACGAATTCCTAACTCAAAATAATTTGCTAATTTTCGTGATTTTTCCATATTTTGTCAATTTTTGAATTTTAAATGTTTATAAAAAAAAACTGTGACTAAGGATTTTTAATATTTTTCATCTCTGAAAAAATATACTAGGAGCCCAGAAAAGCTACTGTTGAAGAAAATCCAAGCACTTTTACTGTCATAAAACGTGATGACAGACACAAAAAAAAAAAAAACACGTGATTACGCTAACACCGGGTAGTTGGTATAATAGATGCTCAGCACTGACGAAAATCGGTCGGAGGACTGATTATTCTCTAGTGGAATAGACTTAAGTCTACAACGCATTATAATATGCTATTGAGTTATGGACTACTATGTACGAAACAATTATTCGATCGATATAACGTATTTACTTAGCAAACAAAATAAGTTCTAATCTTTCCCGTCACTCGGCGTGCTCCGTTCACCCGTTGTTGAATATTATTATAATTCGTTTCTCGTCGTTTTCCTGCATTACATACACGAGGAGAATAATAATAATATGTACTTGGCTAAATGGTTCCTGCTACGCGTCACATAATAATTGTTAATTTCAGATCCCTGCGTATGTGGCAAGTATTGAATTATTTCACGACGACAAATTATAATTATAATTTACTATTCTATATTGTTTCGAAATGTCCATAATTTTTTCTATATTAATTAAAATACATAATATAATATATATATTATATATATTACATTATTACATATAATGCTTGCCGTACGAATATGTTTGAAAACATATTTCTCCCGCGATATAGTGTCTATATAATTAGTTAAGTTATTGGATTTGTGTGAAATATACATATCACATTCTACGGCACGGCCAATCTTACAGTATTGATATCAACTAAACATTAAATAAAATTACATTTTTTTATCATAAAGTAAAAAAAAAAAAATACGATTATAATCCTGTATACTTTATACTGCTGTTTCTGTGTTTGTTTCTATTTCATATTATTGTATAGGTAAGACTTTACTCGGTAGAGAAATAAATTGTTCCCGAAGTGTTCACAAGTACTCGTTTTATATATATGCAAATAATGGACATTGTCTTACTCGGGTATAAAATTGCATTAGACAGAAACCAGCTTTGTTCTGTAAAAGTTCTTTGTAAACTCGTACTGTAACTCCTTTGATATCGTCGTTCTCTCGAGCGGCTCTAAAGTACATTTTTAATTACATAAATTTTAAATATATTTTGACTGTACAAAATACTTTCATAAATTATTATTTTGTTTTTAAATATATAACTTTTAGTGTTTACTGTTTGTTAAAACCCGTTTCATTTGGGCAAGAACCACTCAGACTTAATCTTGTGGAGAAACCAAATTTTTGCCATAAGAAGAAGAGAACTTTTGCTGTACAATCATTTTTATTTTTTCGATACTACCTATTTTGACGAAAAAAGCTATTTTAAAAAAAGAAGTCGCCGCTTAAATTGCGAGTGTGATGTCCGCTTAAATGTTAAAATTGTTTTTTCTATATAGTTCTACATTTTTAACATTGTTTTATTAAACATCGTTATGACAGATTCACAATCTGAGCTAGTATAAGAAAATTAGATGTTGTTTATGCATACTTTAACGTAGTATGATCACGTATCGAGCTTATATATAGTATATACATTACGATACGTGTACTGGTTTTTTAAAGCAAAGCCATTTTTAACTAAACATCAAACCAGAACCGTATATACCAGATCCCATTTAATGCAAGTTGTAGGGACTTCACGTGGAATTCGATGTGTGTGATCTGTAGGAATAACTGAAATTAAACTAAGTGTTGAATTAAATATTTTTAACGCTACAATTTATGAAATTAGCTGTGCTTTACAAAAGTTATGCGTTGACTTTCTCCGCAAAACTCCGAGTTGCAGATTATTTTTTAGTATTTTTTTAATCTCAATTATACTTAATTTTATATTGGCTTTATCTTTTCCACCCTCTTGTTTGTTGGCAAAACCACAATCAACTTTTGATTTTTAAAATTATACCTAATTTTTTTAACCTGGAGCATAAAAACTTTAAAAAAAAATGTAGGTGTATAAAATATCTAATACCACTATTATACAAAGAATAATATGTATCCCTAGGCCAAATTCCAAAATATTTCATTGCAGTATTTATATGGCCAATGCCCGCGGCTTATGGAATAATTTACTCTACCATAAAATATAGGATATGTTTCGAATACTTTTTAAAAATTAAATTTTAATTGTTTTAGATATGGTAAAGATATTTAGATATAGTGAGTATAATGTAAGTTAAATTGAAATGATGGATGGATATTGGAAAATATACCTAAGTCCTAGGTATATCTATTAAATTATACACGATTATGTCAGTCGTGTTAAACACTATTTTTGTTACTTGCTCGTGTACTTGACGAATATTCGTCAATCGTTCTACTTACGAGTTGTATAGGAGGTTTTTTATTCGTAAAGCATATCATAAAGGCGGGATCCCACAACTCGTGTATTTGACAAATATCCACGAATACGGCAAATTACCGACAATCGACGGGAAGGTGGCGAATAACGAATAACTAATACCGAATACCGAATATTCGTACAAGTAGGTACTCCCATTCCCACTACTCGGTGAGTATCCACGAATACTAAATATTCGTCAAATACACGAGTCGTGGGATTCCGCCTTTACGATTACGTTTTACACGGCAAGTCACTAGTGGTTTCTTGTTGGTTATTGTTAAAATTGGCAAGAATCAAAGAAATTAAAAATGATCGCGTTCACATAATCATAGTGAAGTCAAAATATTTTGGAGCCTCGGCAATTATAAGAGTAAGTAGACGAGCCTTATAGGACCAGCAGATCGTGTTGTAACAAATCAAATTGGATCTTGTTTGTGACGGCGGGGGAGCTCGCATTATGTATATTAGATGTAGGCAGTAGGTACTATCATAATTCATAATATTCATAATGTTGTTTAAATCTGTGATGGGACCGTTTATTATTTCTTTAATAATCGTCGATTTACCCCTCATTAACTCGCGGAAAAGCGGTGAATAACGAATAAAAAATACTAAACATCAGATAAGTAGGTACTCTTTATATCGGTTCTTTACACGGTGAGTATCTACAAATAACGAATATTTTCCATATGTACCTATACGAGTCATGACTCATAGGGACTTGGCGGAATGCTTCCTACTCGGGGGAGGGGGGGGAAAGGCATGGTGTTGTATTTACCGATGGTGGTAAGCATATGTGTAGGTACTTAATTATTTAATGATTAGTTTTGGGACGATGTGCCGCGTATGTCACAATAATGATTTATTACCTAAAAAATAAAAACCAAATTCAATATTTATAGTAAAGCAGGTTTATATTAATATTTACAGCTACATTTGCTTTGAGTATATCTGATACGGTAATCAATCTCTGTTTAAACTGCAAAAGATATCGCAAGATGCTGGAAAATTAATCGTAACGATCCGTCATCGGTAGGCAATAGGCATATATATTGTATTACCACGGTATCATCTATACTCCACCATGTAGTCATCCGCGTTGCAACGAAATCCAGGACTTCAGTAGAGTCGTTCAAATATATATTTTAATAGTTTAACTAGTTTAATATACATTGTAAAAGAGTAATTAGAAATACGTGAAAATACGAAATATAACATACAATTTTACTCATTTTATTCGTAATCTTTTAAACTCGTATAACTATTGACAAGTATAGTACCTACCTATATTTAAGTGGAGTTGAACGCTTGATACACATATATAGTCTATATTATCTAACGTGCAGTCTGGTTAAATGTTACAGTTTAAATCTGCAGAGTACCTATATTTTCGAGATATAATATTTTAATCATATATCACTTTTGATAAAATATTACTGTCTAAAGAAAAATGTACGGTGTTGTATTACTTTGCGTAATGGAATCTTGCTTTATATGTTGACAAAAAATATTACAATGTGTTCGTACGCAATATAAATCCATGTCATCATAACTTATCCATTTCTGTGTTATTCGTGTTCGCAGGTCTGGGCTTCGGTATGATCTATTTGCCTGCCATTGTGAGTGTGACGTGCTATTTCGATAAGTACAGGTCACTGGCCACCGGTATCGCCGTTTGCGGTTCCGGACTGGGCACGTTCATCTTTGCGCCGTTAGTCGATTACCTGGTGAAAGGGTACGGCTGGAAGGTCACCGTGGCCGTCATATCGGGCCTGGTGTTCCTGTGTACGCTGTTCGGTGGGCTGTTCCGGCCGCTGAACGCAGCCACATCCGCAGCCGACGAAGATGGTGACGAGGACGGTGAAATACCGGTCCTGATGAACGGGGCCGCGACCACCACAGTCGTTCTGAACATCATCGAACCGCCGGCGGCCGAGAGTCAGCCGCTGAAGAACGGTGGTGGCAGCGTGGACGCGGCCACCCGGTCATACGATCACATACCCAACTCGGACGACGACGAAGAGTGGCGTGGAGCCGGCCACGACCAGACCGAGATGTCGCACGACGCACTGCTGCTGTCTGACGTCAGGCGGACCAGCAAAAGTTCGGCCACGGCCGCAGCCTCGTCAAATGCAGCGGCTGACTCCACGGCTGCGTCGTTCGGCAACGATCTGGACAGACAGTCGCGGTTCACGCTCAGCCAGCCTGAGCTGATCGCCGCTTCCGGTTGCCGGAACAGCTGTCGGCTCAACACTCGGCAGCGGAATGAGGTGTGCTACGCCAGCCAGAATCTTAAGCCGTCCGCGAATGGCGGCAGCGGCGGTATCATGTACCAGAAGGACATATTCTACAGCGGAAGTCTTGTCAACATAAACCTGAACCGCAGGAGGTTAGTATAATATTATGCTTATGCTATAGTTGCATACTAACTATCTGCATACTAACTACAATCGATTTTTATCTTATTAAAAAATTAATGTACCTACGTACTTACACATGCGGTTTACCATAACACTATGTTTTACACTAAAATCAGTAGTTCTAAATACTGTTTGATAAAATAGTATTCGTTTATATTTTGTTTGTAAAAATATCTAGTGAAATATATTATATATATATTTGAAACTATAATATTATCAAACGCGGTTTTCAAAATTGGTGTAGGTATTTAAATGAATCACACTGTATGCAGTGGTGTTATAACATGGAACGGTCATCCGTGGATAACGAGGATACAACATTTTTATACATTAACGAATTAAAAAAAAATGTTATTTAAAAACACGTCTATAAATTGCGTTCAACTTTTGTGACGTTAAAATGTAATATCGCGAATCGCTATCGTTGGCCGGGCAGTTGTTTAGTGTTTACGCCGTGTCTAACATAACCTATACAAATATTATCTAATAAATGATTAAAAAAAATATCTAATGAAATATTTTCTATGTAGACAATGCGTATATAATATATTATATGTTCTAGATCTCTTAAGAGAACGATACAACATGAAAAATGTTTGTTCACTTGTTTCATTAGGGTGCTATCAGTTTTGATGTTATAGTGAAGTGACTTATTATCAAACTATTAAACACCTGCCTAAGAACATCAGATGTGCTAAAGCGTCGGTGATTTCTCTGATATTTTAATCTTCAAGCGAGATTTGAGCATTTTTAATTTATAATATTTCACATACCCATATCTTGCTTGATAACTAAAAAATACCGAAAAAATTACCGACGCTTAAGCATAGATAATGTTCTTTCCTAAAAGTTTGATAAGAGGTTAACACACTCTTAACATCAAAACTATTGAAACTAGTGAACGGACATTTGGTATGTCATACGTTTGTAAGACGGGAGACAATATACGCATGTTAGCCTCCTTTTAATCAATATAATAAAATGTATCCGTAGAAGCGAATTCCTCTTTAGCACAAAATTTGAAGTTGTGCCACTACAAATATACTCGGTAGATAAATCATACTAATATTTTGTACTGACCTAGTAAAGATTAAATGTATTAAGGATAGTAGTAATTAATCAATATTGTTTAAGCTGAATGGTGCGTTAAAATGCGTGGGCAGTGGGCACTGATGTGTTTTAATGCGATACGGATTTGGGTTTGAATTCTCGGATTTATATAATTACTATTCAAATATTTAGATAGTTCAATGCTGACCACACTGATAAATTACCTATGCACAGTAAATATCGCAAATAGTATAATATGCAACCTATATAACATATTATATTATTATACTATGCATGTTGCGTAGATAGAAACGATCGTTTATTGTAGTGAAGGGCATAACATATGAGTGAGGTAGATGTATAAAAATAATTAAAGTAGTATAAATCGTTTGCTAAGTAAAATATATAGGTATTAACCTATATTTATTAATACATATAGATATTATACGTCTAATATTTTTAGAAAAAATCAATGCTATATTTAGTAGGTACTTATCAATTAAATTAAACTACACAAATTACAAAGTTCAGTATTGACATTTTATTACTAATTAATATTTATGCGTTTTGTTTTGAGCGGAGCTATTGATTTTACAATGATGTTTTATAGAAATTTCCTGTATGTTTCTTAATAATTATAGGAATAACTAACATAAAACAACGGGATAACGAAAATATTTATGTAATAGTTTTCCATCCCATAGACTGTTTTTGTGTTGTAATTCTCAAAAAAGTTCCTAACTGTAGATACTTGAAATTTTTACTAAACATTTATATCAGTATTTTATGGTTTATTTTTCAAGTAGTTTAGAGTTTTAAGTTGTCAATTTAAGATGTAAAATACTCTATACCTTTAGATTGTTTAGAAAATGTATGGTGTCATTAATTTATAGCTGTCTCATATATTGTAATACATAAAAACAAAAATATGCTTCCAATATCAAATTTTTATTAAAACAAGTATATAAGTTCAGTTATTATAGACTACAGTTAACTTTAAGTTGAATAATAGAAAGTTTTTATTTTATCTTTTATTAATTAATAACCTTTAACAATTTAAAAAAACAGGTTCTTGTAAACATTACGTTTTGGGTAGGTAGCTATTTTTTTTTATTAACTTAACCTTGCATAATTTAAAAACTAGAAATATAATCATTATTCGTTTTCTTTTTCAAGAATAATATGTAATTTAAATTCTAGTGTTAACTAATAATAAAATCTTATAAATCCATTTGTTTGGTTTTTATGGTTAAAAATATATAAAAAAAAAAATAATTTGGACAGACAAATTTAAAAATATCTTTTATACATGTTTGCCCACATAAAATGAAACACTGACTGACTGATATATCAATGTGCAGCCCAAACCGCTGGGTCTAGAAATGTGTAATGTTTCACAAAGATTCCTTATGCTACAATTAAGTCTAGAACCAAGAAATGACTATCAGAATTACAATGACTAAATAATTTAAATGTGGTGTCAAAGTTGGTATTTTTTTTTCACGGGATATAGAGCCAACTTATTCAATCATTTAAACGATTTTTTTTAAATTTATAGAGCACATTATGGAGCAAGTCTTAAGCATAGTTTTATAGAGTCAACACTCAACTCCTCTCCTAAAAAATTGGTCTATGCAATTGAAATACATCCGTAATAAATCTGTCAGATTTTTTATCTGGATCCAACGACTTGACCATGTTAAAAATGTATGTTGCTTACATCCGTTAATTTTTCTGAGCAGAGATAAACCAATACTCTTGACGTTTTTATACTATACCTGAAATACAACAAGCGCCGTATCCAATTTTCAACAGACAGAGTTTTCATCTCGGTCGGATCTATCCTCAAAACAATTGGTACAGTGACATGACTTGCTTGGGAACTTATGAAGTAAACTGAAATTGAAATACACCAAGCCCCATGTATTGTATATTTTTTCATTTTTTTCCCCAGGTGAAATCGGGAATAGGTACTGATAAGTGTAGTCTAATATTATATTATCCTTATATAAATAACTGCTTATAAACGCACAGTCTCAGCAATAATTATTTTTCGTGTATACCTATAATGTTTTATAAGTTATAATTTAGTTCAAATTTAACACATGTATTACAGTGACTTACCTACTCAATGACTTACTCAGTGACTTACTTACACTCAAAACGCACTATATTACTGAGCAAGTTAGTCGGTTTTTTTAACTTGATGCTTATAGGCACTTACACAATTTGTTGTAAATTACAAATACAATTTTTAGCTTCCCGTAGTACGAGTATTATACCTGTATATATTTTCCTATGATTCGGGCACTCGGCCTATGAATACTGGTTACTTTTGGTGTTTTTTCAACAATCATAATAATATAACTTGACGATTATTATTTTTTATACGGTGTAAAACAACGAATTATTTTTTACTTGGCAGTTACCAGGAAAAGTTTATTTTACCACAGTAAAAATCTTTTTCCAATTCTCGATTAAACAAATGTCACTTTTTGGAATTTCTATGAAAATTATATATTTATCGGTTTTTCTTATTAATTGATAAAAAAATATTGTGCGTCATGAATCATGATTACAGATAAAGCCTAATTAAAGTACTTGTATAATTATTAAATGAAACTAATGCACATAAATACTTTAACACAACAACAAATAATATGATCTCATTTTTTTTCTTTTGTTTCCCTTGTTTTAATATAATTTTGAACTTTATACAATCGAATAAAAACGTTTAACCTAACAGTTAGTTTTTTTATTAATTTAAAAAGTATCGTTGCATTTAGTGAGTTAATTTTTTTCGAAACTTCTGTGCTGAAAATATTTGTTTAGTTAACAGAATTTACAATATGTACTGTCGCGTTCAACTGATGGCGTATATAAAATCCATAATGTTTCTAATACCTATATAGTTTAACGATAGAACAATTTTTTTATGTAATTGTGCGAGAAGTGTAAGCATGATGTCACATTGCGTTTGTCATTGTCAATAACTTTTTACTAAATAATGTGCTTTAGATTCTGAGCATAGCTTATAGCGTATTTACAATAATGTGGGTTTTTCTGTCTGTCATCAACATTTTGAGTAGTAAAAATACTCTGATTTTTGACATCAGCATCTTTTCTGATAGAAAAGTGAATCTTATTGGTACTTTTGAAATGTAGGTAAAAAAAAGTGGAATAAAAAAATGGTAACTTTTACGCGAAATCAATTTTTGAAAAATCATTTGTGTAACTCAAAAAATAATTATCGTACACTTGAAATTTTCACCAAAATATTTATTTTAGCATTTTTCATATATGGTAATATTTTTGAAATATTTCGACTAATTTTGAGATATTTATAGTTTTGATGAATTTTTAAATAAGTGTCGATAAATACTTATTAACTTAATAAAAGAGCTTGAAAATTTAACTCAAATGTCCTCAAAAGATGCTTCAATAGCAGTTCAAATGTTGACAAAGTTCATCAAAATCCTGATAATCTGTAAATTATTTTCAGATAGAACATCATAAAAGTTTTTATTTTCATGGCTAACATTAACAATTTTAATAGAAGATTCATCAAAAGTTTTTATACGTTTAACAAAAAAAAAAAAAGATTACTGAAACTTAGGTAACATTAATTTTTATGAGCTTTTGAATTTAACATTTTTACGATATTTTATATTCAGCTTTAATTAACGAATTCTAATTAATCGATTTTGATGTTGATTCAAAAACAAATAACCGTAGACACATGCAATTCTTACAAAATATTTATATTAGCATTTTCCATAACACTTTGGTAAAATGCTCAAACTATTTTGATTTTTTTTTTTGTGATAATTATAGCCATCAGAAGTTTTTCTAATTTTCTAAATTATTTTTCACTTAGAAATTTATAAAAGTTTTTTCTTTTTATAGCTAACTTTAGAAA